ATATTTTTACCTGTTATATATTTTCCTCTGCTAAAATCCGTGTCTACATCACTTACCATCTCATTTACTCACCGCCCCGAAAAAGAGGGAGAGAGGGATTGTTAGTAATACGAATCATCCCATTGTTAGCAATATACCCAACCAGGTCGACCTCCTCGCGATTCCCCCTGGAAACTATCGTGACAAATTTGTCATTAAATTCGTCACAATGGGCTAACTGACCTGCCTTTTCATCCCCACCTATCACCGCTTACTGGTACCCCGCCAGTGTATACCGATAGCGCAGGCGATGTTACCATGTCATTTTCACCCATAAAAAAACCCTTCAAACCAAAACATAGCCATGTACACACAACTGCTTCATGGTAGAAACACGAATGCGACAGAGGTGTAAAAGCAAACGACTTTGTACAATGTCTCCCTTTGGGGGAAAGGGATTGTTAACAATGGAGTTTGACAGCCCCATTGCTGGCAATATGCCTTATTGGGTCGACCTCCACGTGGTTCCCCCTGAAAACCATCGTAAGCAATTCTTTTTGAATTTATCACGATGGGCTAACTGACCTACTTCATCCTCACCTATCATCCTTCACTGGTGCCCCGCCGGTGTATACCGATAGCGCGGGTGGGGTTACCATTCCATTATCATCCATTAAAAAAAAAGTACATATTAAAAAAAAGCAATTTTATTTCAAGTTTAAAAACAGGAGGGCTGTTTTCCAGTTTGACCTTTACGAACGTAACATTGATAACTATATTTGAACGAACAAAAACATGACATTGAGCTGGAAAATTCGGAATTTCATTTCATGGTAGACCCCCTGATTTTGTGTTTGTCCTTCAGGAAATCAACAGTGGAAATCATATCCAATTTAATGCAATAGTTTATGCGTGATTCCGCTACAAACATACAGACAGCATTTCTAAAAATTATTGTTTCAAAATTATTGGTAAGTTATCGTAGTTTAACTAAACGATCGCGTTACTTCCCGCCTTATATAAAACATAAGAACATATTAAGTTATAATTAAGTAAAGTGTAACTTTAATAGTTTATTTACATTATCTACAAGCCACGTGCGGGGTCCTAGTTCAATAGTTACAAAATATACGAAATAGAAAACAATTTAGACACGTTATCGGTGTGTTTAGTCTATGATGCTGAACTACTGGTAAAGGGAGACTTTGTACAAAAGTCGTTTGCTTGGCCACCTCTGTCCCATTCGTGTTTCTACCGTGAAGCAGTTGTGTTTGCATGTAGCTGTGTTTCGGTTTGAAGGGTTTTTTTATAGGTAATAATGAACCCATTGCTAACAATACTCCCTGTATTGTTAGCAATGGGTTCATTAGACCCCATTACTAACAATCCATTTCCCCCCTTTAATATGTACTATAAAGTTTTATTTCTAAGTCTTTCTCTGTTAGACTATTTTCTGTGGCTATGTTACACGATTACGTTGTGAATTGTGGGGGTTTACCATGAAATGAAATGCCGAATTTTCGGGCTCAGTCTCGTGTTTTTGTTCATATCGAAATCGGCCCAGTAAATAGAGCTTAATATTTTATTCGTCATAAATTCTACTATAACAGTTCAAAGTAATGATATTTTAACATTTTTCATATTTTAAAACTGTATGTATTATGCAATTTTAACATCAAATTTGTGTTTCGTGCGGCCTCGAAATTCCGGATAATATATCATGGTAGACCCCCAGAGTTATCTAGACGTTTCGACCGTATGGCCTACCGTGAAAATGTTTCTAAAATTTCGGTAACATTTAATGCCCATTCCCACAAAAGACCTATTAACTTTTTCTAAACGACGCATGAATCGCATATAAAACATAAAATGGGCAACACGAAGGTCAATATTTAGTATTATTAAAACTTATTTAAATAGAACTTAAAAAATATATAAACTAAGGAATAATTTACTACCTATTGGACATCAGCGGACTGTATGATGGTCGGGTCAATTATTTTTTTGTTTACATTTTCCGTAAATTCTGTTTTGATACAGACCATACCTGACGTTATGTGATGACCAAGCCTCCTCAATAATGATTTGGTCAAATATTTACAACATTTATTGAATATGTAATTTTAACTGATGACGCTCTACGTAATAAAGAGTAGCAATGTGCCCACTACTACGTAAGTAGGAATATAAGTTTTTTTTTTTTTATGAGCTTAGAATGGCAAACAATCTGACGGCCCACCTGATGTAAAGTGGTAACCGTCGGCTATAGACATGAGCAGTGCCATGGACATAACAGAGTATACTGTTTCGCGCATGATACCCCCCATGCGTTGCCATTCCTGAGGACTCAGGTGTTATTCCTCTGTACCCAGTAAATTCACGCCAAAAGTAAATTAGACCAATTCTAGATCGCGTATCAAGGTGACACATACATCAGAGGGCCTACCATGAAATATTTTCCGAAACTTCGGGACCAAACGAATCACAAATTAATGGATGTTAAAATGTTAACAATGTTAAAATATTATTCCTTTGGTCGTTTATAGTAAGATTTATGACGAACGAAATGTTAATCTCTATTTACTGAGCCGATTTCAGTACGAACGAAAACATGACATTGAGCCGGAAAATTCGGAATTTCATTTCATAGTAGACCCCCTGATTTTAAGTTTGTCCTTCAGGAAATCAACAGTGGAAAGCACATCCAAAATTTTATGCGTGATTCCACTACAAACATACAGGAGGGAAAGGGATTGTTAGTAATGGAGACTAAAAATCCTATTGCTAGCAATATACCCAACCAGGTCGACCTCCTCGCGGTTCTCCCTGGAAACTATCATGGTTAATTCCTGATGAATTCATCATGATAGGCTAACTAGCCTGTTTTCATTCTCATCGATCATCCTTCACTGGTACTCCGCCAGCGTATCCCGTTAACGCAGCCCCGCCTGCGCCACTTTACCATACCATTTTCACCCATCAAAGTATATATATATATATATATATATATATATATATATATATATATATAGGTATATTGCTAGCAATGGGGCTGTCAAACTCCATTGCTAACAATCCTTTTCCCCCTTTGTCCAAGGGTCGGTATCAGGCAAATGTACTCGCGGTAGATCACCAACGCGATGGACTGACCTCATCAAAACGGCCACACAACAGCAGAGGGAGACTTTGTACAAAAGTCGATTGCTTGGGTACCTCTGTCCCATTCTTGTTTCTACCGTGAAGCAGTTGTGTTTGCATGGCTGTGTTTCGGTTTGAAGGGTGGGATATGGCGTGAATTTACTGGGTATAGAGGAATAACATCTGAGTCCTCAGCAATGGCAGCGCATGGGGGGTGTCATGGGCGAGACAGTATACTCTGTTATGTCCATGGTACTGCTCATGTCTATAGGCGACGGTTACCACTTTCCATCAGGTGGGCCGTCAGCTTGTTTGCCATTCTAAGTTGTATAAAAAAAAAAAGTAATATAGAATGCTCTCGGCCGGCTGTGAGCAGAAGTAGATGGAGACGCATTAGGAGGACTTCACGAGGGAGGGCCTCATCGACGATCCACTGTCATAAAAACCACTACCACTGTCAAGAGTGTACGAAAGAGAGAGAGAGAAGAGAGAGAAGAAAATAGTTTTCCCGTATCGCATATCTATGTTTTGTGCTCGCTAAAAGCAGTTATCCATGTACGCAATATATTTTTGCACATCGCCAATAATAAATATGCTAATCACCGCTGATAACCAACTCATATTTGTTATCGTGAATTATTATCTGCATGTGACGTAACGTGTCGCTCGAAAAGAACGTGTCGCACTAGTTGTAACCCGCCGTTTTGCCCACAAAAGTTCTTCTTTTCATTTAAGAGTCTCCTCTTGTCGGTTCACCAGAGGGAGTATAACATTCGATATTATAAACGTTAAAAGAATAATTACAGAGTAAAAAAAGTTTACAGTTTCAATGTAAGATTGCAAAGATTGTTGGAAGATATCAAGGTTCTTACGTTCTTCTTATGGTCTATATGTGTAACAAATTTCATTAAAATCGACTCAGCTATTTAAGCGTGATTGCGCAGTAAATGTCTAAACGTCGTTACAGTTCTTCGCATTTACGAGTATATCATTACATGTGATGAATGAATGGAAAATACTGTAATATTACCCTCAAGGAAGGGTACGGATTACATAAACTGTATAATAATAATAATAATAATAATAATGAATCGTACATAAGCTAATATGTACACAAAATGGTTATAATTGAAGGCTGTGACCCACAAAAAGAATCCAACTCTGATCAGCAGATAACAGATAACTTTAGGGGGAAAGGGATTGTTATGGGGTCTAATTGACCCATTGCTAGCAATACACCCTGTCATGTCGACTTTTCACTTGTCTTTCAATTGCACCAAGTTTTATTAAAATGTATATGTGTCTTATACCTGCAGAAATATGTAGTGGGATCTTAGACTATATATAGAGTACCTACTATTTGCCCTTCGATTTTAAACATCAATCAATGTATCGTTATGATAATCGTCTCTTTTGCGTGAATGTGTTGTATTGCTGTGTGTGTGTGTACAGTCGAGTTGTGTTTTTTTTTTTCATGCAGATGTCTGCGATTCTGAAATGAAATGAAATGAATTTATTTTGCTAGAATGCAGGTAATTTTAGATGATAGAGGTTTATATTTCCCGTGTACATTCTGCCTCTATGTCGGCGTGCAAATTTTTAACAATATAATAAATTTGTATATATATACATACATATATACATATCTGTCACGCCTGTCTCCCATTAGGGTAGGCAGAAACAATGGAACGCCAAATGCTTCGATTCAAACAAACCTCTTTCGCTTCTTCCACATTCATCAATCTTGTCATACACGCTCGCCGGTTACGGGTACTTTGTATATATATATATATATATATATATATATATATATATTATTATTATTTATTACAGTAAACTGAAAAAAAATTCTCATTGATCAACTTGCTGTTGTTTTTCTTTAGATAAATAATTAAGAAATTTTCTTTTTAACTCCGTAATTAGTGCCTTTTTTTACGTTGATTTAACTCAAATTTTAATACGAGATAAATAAAGTGTCTAGCGTTTGTGCTGTGACGTGAAGTGACTTACAACGGTGAATGGAAACTAAAATGAAGACGTGGACACACGCACTGAAAGTCTATAAAACCAATCTTACTGTGTCTACACTGTCCCATATATGGACGTACAGAAGTAGCTGTTTTTTCTGACAGTTGCTCAACATTTGTGCTTAATAAACACTTGTGAAAATCGTGAGTTGCAAAAAATTTATACAGCGCCATCTGTCGGCCGCCAGTCGGAAGTACTAGCGCTATCTAGTGTCAGCAACCGGCAAACTGTCGAACGTCAACATGGTCGAGGACACGAGTCACGGCTGCCAGCAGAATACGGATCGAGTGTCGGCGGCGGCTGTCCTACAGTTTGCCGCGAGAGAAGCCCGCGAAGGACGGAGATTGGCAGAGTTCGGGGCGCATGCGTTTGCAAGCATCACATACAATGCATACGGTATATATTTTTACAAGCTTTTATTTAACTGCCAATGTACGTTAGTTTATCCCTTTATAACGATCTTAACGCAAAAATAAAGGATCTCTATTTTTTCTATCATTCATAGCGTACCTTCAAGTATAAACTATCAAATCACATTAATAGCCGTCACACAACTTAAATATCTTCTTTTTCTTTTTTGCAGTATTTTTGAAATAAGTACAAATAATTTAAGTTTTTTCAAAATCATGATTATGATAAAAATCATAATGTAGCCAATGCTATGTACATCTATCACTGTTATGCATGTATTACTATGTTTATATTAAATGTTGTATTGTGACGAACTATATGTAGCACTTGATGTACCAATAAATAAATCAGATGTTGGAACGAAAACTAGAATCACTTGAAGCTTAAATTGACATTATGCATACACTTTCAGCACTGGTGACAATACAGTATGCAATACTCAGTAATGTAGTATTTTCAGTAAACAGTCTTATTATTTATCTATTATGTAACGCAAAAATACAAACGTATACGATATGATTGTATTTGCTAGTCTCTATGATTCAGTTTTCTATAATAAACCCAGTGTCGATCGAGATTAGATAGATTACGTCATTCATTTTTCATATTAAAAAAATCTATAAATGGAATAAATTTCACTTTGAAATTAAAAAACCAAGCAAGTAGGTACCTACTTATTTTTCCCTTTATTTTCCAATTTAGTGCCAGCGTACACTTTTATGTATTATTTACATTTAATTACATCATTTACAGAAATAACAAACAGTAAATTCTAATGCAAAATAATACTAAAAGCAGTCTTATTAATCGCTAAACAATCTCTGCCAAACAATCTTTGAATAGAGGACATTGAGAAAAAGACTAAGAGCAGAAAAAACGTACATATACATATATACATAAACATCGTCATTATCTCAATTATCTCTCCATTTTTTGTCCACCACTGGACATATGGCTCCTCCATAGATTGCCATGAGGAACGATCCTGAGCCACCTGCATCCACTGACTCCTAGCAATACATTTGAGATCCTCGCTCCATCTAGTGGGAGCTGGTCCTACACTGCGTTTATACATAAACATATTTATATTTAATAACATATATCGTCATAGTCGTAGAATACTGACGGATCTATATATGTAATATTTGTCAGATCCGTCAGTATTCTGCGACTATGACGATATATAACAGAAGAGAATGAAGGACGAACGTATACTTTTATATGTTCTTTGCCAACAATTTTGTAAGTAGTTCATGCTTTATTCTTTCATTCTAGTCCTACATTATTCCGTTAATTCAGCTCTTATTCTGTGTACATTTAGTCGTAATTCGACATTAAGAACGCTATTTCTACTCGCGTCTTCGATATACTAAACGCCATTACATATGATACCCATTAATTTAGACCATCAACAAGAGCAGGGACAAAGTAATCTTTCAATTAAAGTCGGTTGTAACTGGCGAATATTAGTTGTAGAACTTCTTACATTTGTAACACGCTGATTGTGAAATTGCGTTTGTAGTCTTAATGGCTTTTAAATAAACAACTTAAAACCGCTGCTACTAAACGCTTGTTATATTTAAAATGTTCACAATATGCCACAAGGAAATGAGATCATCACGGATTTGATGAAATATCTAGGAATATCACGAATATAATCATCAAAGGCCAAGGGGGGAAAGGGATTGTTAGTAATGGAGACTGAGAATCCCATATCTAGCAATATACCCAACCAGGTCGACCTCCTCGCGGTTCTCCCTGAAAACTATCATGGTTAATTCCTAATGAATTCATCATGATGGGCTAACTGACCTGTTTTCATTCTCATCTGTCACCCTTCACTGGTGCTCCGCTAGCGAATCCCGTTAGCGCAGGCGGGGTTACCATACCATTTTCACCCATCAAAAAAAAAAATCATCTAAGGCCGTGATTATATATAATAATCATCATCTTCAACATACAATAATCATATGGAGTATAATGTTCATGAAGAACAAGATTCCATTTCGCATTAACAAATATTAAATCGATCCAAAAGTGATAGAGAAATTCGATGCTCTCAAACAATATTACAAATATAGCATGTTTTGTCAGCTTATTATGAAAGTAATTTTCGGCCGAAGACTATACTGAAAGGAAGCAAATGATATCGATTATACCCAATAGTTGCCTGCTCTACATCAACAGATGGCGTTATTCACTAATAATATCATCAACCGACTTCAAAAAGGATATTTTCAATTGGATTGTATTTTTTTTTTGTTACATCATAACTCCATTAATTCTACTTCATACTTACAGATTTGTCATACAGAAATTTTATCAAAATTAGTTAAGTAATTTAACTTTGCGACTAAAATAACTGGTTTTGTCACAATTGAGATCGGTTTTTTTTTTTTCTGGTAAACAATCTTTAATTATTTAGAAAGCAGTTAACAACGATATAACTATGTCATATTTATTAAACAACTGTGCTAACTGAGACAGTGATTTAGTTATAACTAGTAACATTTAAACTCATTCGCTGATAGGTCAAAGTTCCACAGATAACCGAGTAGACAGTATCAATATGACTGTCTCTATTTACCTAAGTAAGTACTTAGTATTTACTTGAGACGCAAAATCTTTAGTACAAAAGCGAAGCATCTTTGTAACATTACGTAGAACGCGGGAGTGGCAACAGTATCCTGAACGTTTCTAAATAAATTTGTTTTTGTTTTTATACAACTTAGTATGGCAAACAAGCCGACGGCCCATCTGATGGTAAGTGGTAACCGTCGCCTATAGACATGAGCAGTACCATGGACATAACAGAGTATACTGTTTCGCCCATGATACCTCCCATGCGTTGCCATTTCTGAGGACTCGGATGTTATGTTACAATGCAAACACAACTGCTTCACGGTAGAAACACGAATGCGACAGAGGTACCCAAGCAATCGACTTTTGTACAAAGTCTCCCTCTGGATAGTCCTCTCGTGGGCCTCATACATACGGGGGGGGGGGGGGGGGGGGGGGGGGGGGTATTGCCAGTATTGGCCACACCTGGCTGTCTGGTTGGCAACCGCAGTTAGGCTTTTGATGATGTTTTCACACGACACCCACGGAAAGGGGGTGGTCCATTCTATGCTGGGACAGCACAGCAATTTTTAATATTTCGTGATATTTATAATGAATCTATGCTTACATCTTAGATTATATACTCAGTATATATTTCAGGAGGGAAAAAGATTGTTAGTAATGGAGACTAAGAATCCCATTGCTAGCAATATACCCAACCAGGTCGACTTCCACGCGGTACCGCCTGGAAACTATCATGGTAAATTCCTGATGGATTCATCATGATGGGCCAACTGGCCTGTTTTCATTCTCATCTATCACCCTTCACTGGTGCCCCGCCAGCGTATTCCGCTAGCGCAGGCGGGGTTACCATACCATTTTCACACATAAAAAAAAAGTATATACTCCATTCAAATACACCATACAAATACTTCGCCAAATACAGGCCAGGAATAGGATTACCACAAAGTATTTATTACATTTATTACTCAGTATATGAGGAAATTGTATCTTTTTTTTTTATCGCTTCTCATTAAAATTTATGATTACTGTATATTTAAGCTTAAATAACTATATAATACTAATAATAATTACGATATGAATAGATACACACTAATACTTAAATAATGAATAATAATAATAAGAAAATACGTACTTATCGTGATATACTATTTCGAAAGTGAAAAAAGTGTTGTCCTCCTCTCTCCTACTTGCTGTGCCCAACAGGGTCCATAATTCAAAACCTTATGTAATAATTATGTATTATGTATTAATTAATTATTATGGAATGCAATAAATAAATAAATGTAATATTGTATACGTATATATCTGTATTTATAATTTTTACAAATGGGTTGGCAACGCGCTCGTGACATCTCTGGTGTTACAGGCGTCCATAGGTCACGGTAACCCCGTTTACCATCCCACGGGCCGTATGCTTGTTTACCAACATAGTAGTGTAAAGAAAAAAATAAAGTGTAGATATAAAAAAAAAATAAAAAATAAAAAGAATACAAAATTTATATATATATATATATATATATTTAAAAAACAAAATAGTGCATGATAATTCACAATGATGCTTATCTCTACTGATTACCTTGATTTGTAATCTAAGTATAGACTTAAAACATGTTTTTGTTTTAAAATTATTAAAAATAGACTGAATTTTAATTAATATATCTATTTTAGTTTGTAAGGATTACGTACTTATCTCTATAATATCAGAAAAGTAGTTATAAATTCAAATTAAAAAAATCAACTCAATTTAGGATATTTTTAATTTTTAAACTTACAAAGGTTGATAAAAACAGATATTGTATAAATAAAAAAAAAAGTATCAAAATTTTGTTAGTCAAACGTCAATTTAGCTGACGAAATTTTGACTTGATTTGACACTCGTTGCTCTATATAATCTGAAGCTTGCATTTATTTTTAATATCTTGCCTTTTTTTTTAATGTCCTCAACCCAAAAGTTGTCTGGAAAAGGTTGCTTAGCGATAAGGTAGCCTTGTGTATCGCTCCTTATTAAAATTAACTGTATTTACTATTTTATAAATGGTGCAATAAAGTGTAAAATAAATAAGTAAATAAATTTATAACTAACTCTACGTATATACCACTGCATCATTGAGTTGCGTGTTGCCATGTTGCAACGCGCCATGAAATCAATTCACCCGCAGTGCCCATACAAATACATTTTTTCCCTTCAACAAAATTATTCAGTGAAAAAAGAATCATTTGTTAGAATATTTGGTTTAGGTGTATGTTACCATGAATCAATATAATTGGCATATTTAATGAAAGGATTTATTTATTAATAAAATAAATTGTAAATTCTTTTTTTTTTACACAACTTAAAATGGCAAACGAGCTGACGGTCCACCTGATGGAAAGTGATAACCGTCGCCTATAGACATGAGCAGTACTATGGACATAACAGAGTATACTGTTTCGCCCATGATACCCCCCATGCGTTGCCATTCCTAAGGACTCAGGTGTTATTCCTCTGTACCCAGTAAATTCACGCCATATCCCACCCTTCAAACCGAAACACAGCCATGCAAACACAACTGCTTCACGGTAGAAATACGAATGGGACAGAGGTACCTGAGCAATCGACTTTTGTACAAAGTCTCCCTCTGGTATCTAAATTTAATGTAGTATTACATTCATTTTATCAGTGAATTATTCTTTTTAATTTAGAACTTTCTATCTAAGGATTTTTATACGTCGTGCGTATCTACTTGCATAAATTATGTGAAAGGCGAGCTAGTATGTGCATGAAGATTTCTAGCATACTGATACCTAAATGTAAAACTGAATTATAAATAAATAAATTTCACCACTTCAACTCAACATTTTTATATTTCCCAAACAAATCAAAATCAAGTTATTAAAATTTCCAACTATATCCAAAAAAATTTGATAATTCTCGAGTAAAAACTGAAAATTTCGTCTTTTTGATGTCCATTTTCACTCGCGACTCACGAGAGACCCTCATCCTACATAATACTGACCTTAAACTGACGTCCACTTGACGTACGTACTGGACGAATAACGTACCGATGCTAAAATGTCTAAAGAATACATACCTGCCTTTTTACATTTATTACAAATAGCATTGATATAAAAAAAATTTACTAATAATTACAGACATTAATAATATGACGAGAAACCGAAATCTAAAACTGACTCGAGATAACCTATGCTGCCGTTCCTCCAGCAGATACGGGAATTATCTGAAACAAACAAGTTTGGGTCATCATAGTTCAAGTCTCATTATTATTGTCACACTAATTCTGTCTGGATTGTTTTATCAGGTAGTTTTTACTGCAGATTTAGTTTTATGACCGTAATACGGCTTCGTGTTAACTTTTCATACGTCAAATATTTTACAATGTTAACTCTCTTAACTATACTATACTAGCGGCCCATCCCGGCTTCGCATTGGTGGACATTTTTTCAAAACATTTTAAAAAGTGGCTATTGTGACATAACGATAATAGTTGGACATATAGTATCGCTAAGTTTTTTGTAGTCATTGATATTTTCTTCAATATTGTAGAACATACTTTTGTTCTATCACCAATAGTTTCCGCAGCGCACGCGACCAAAGATATTTTATAGCATTTTTTTAAACCTTGAGTTACGTTACTAAAGTTTTAGTAAGGATCCTTAATCTTTTCTAGCAATAAATATAGCCTATGTTACTCAGGGTGAATGTAGCTTTCTAATGGTGAAAGAATTTTTGAAATCGGTAAAGTAGTTTTTGAGTTTACTCATTACAAACATACATACACACAAAAATACAAATCTTTCCTCTTTATAATATTAGTGTAGAACTATTATGCCTACTTGTACAACAATTAATCCTAAGGTTGTCTTGAAAAGATTGCTCTCAGCAATAAGACCGCCTCACTGTACTTATACAATTGTATCGTTGCGTTTGTAAATTGTCTTGCTTATTCCCTATATTGTATAATGCAAATAAAGTATACTCATTCATTCATTCAAATGAGAAGTTTAATTCGCTCCATTTTTCTTTTATTTATATCGTTTGGTAAAGAATGGTCACATGTCTTTATACGATATTAGTTGTTTATTAATTTAAGCATAATATATTCTTCAAACTTGACAATATGAAGTAAGCTACCCTGCGAGTTCTTTTTCAAAGCCTTACCCTTCACCGTATGGGGGGGGGGGGGGGATGGGATTGTTAGTAATGCGGACTACCAGTCCCATTGCTAGCAATATACTCTGTTAGGTTGACCTCCACGTGGCCTCCAATGAAAACCATTGTGCTGATTTCCAGACGTATTCATCACGATGGGCCGACTGATCTGCCTTTCCATTCTCACCTTTTACTAGAGGGAGACTTTGTACAAAAGTCGATTGCTTGAATACCTCTGTCCCATTCGTGTTTCTACCGTGAAGCAGGTGTGTTTGCATGGCTGTATTTCGGTTTGAAGGGTGGGATATGGCGTGAATTTACTGGGTACGGAGGAATAACATCTGAGTCCTCAGGAATGGCAACGCATGGGGGGTATCATGGGGGAAACAGTATACTCTGTTATGTCCATGGTACTGCTCATGTCTATAGGCAACGGTTACCACTTTCCATCAGGTGGACCGTCAGCTTGTTTGATATTCTAAGTTGTATAAAAAAAAACCTATCATCCCTCACTGGTGCTCCGCCAGCGTATACGGGGTTACCATTCCATTATCATACATTGAAAAAAAAAACCTTTCGCCATGTGGTTCTGGCATAGAATGGGCCACCATTTTCATTCCCATGGATAGTGAAAGAGGTGACTAAGGAAACTTAATGTCGTGGTATGGGCAGCAGCGTCCCTCTTAAAACATCACTAAAATTTTGCCAATCCGTCTACCATATATATATATATATATATATATATATATATATATATATATATAAAAACACCACACCCACACTCTCTTTCTGTATATATATATATATATATATATATATATATATATATATATATATATATATATATATATATATTAGTATTTTTTTAATTAGTATCGAGAAATAATTCTTGTAAAAAGTAATGTACAGTGGTACCCTGCACTTTGGTTATGTTTTGTTAAGAGAGGGACTGGCTGAGAACCAGCGCTGTGCAGCTGTTCACATTGCGCTGGGACACTCACAGCATCCGCTGAGCCGGTTCCTTTTGCCGGGTGTGGGACACTTTTTGTATATGTTATTTATATTTTATATTGTAAGTTTACTGGCAATAAATGTTTCTATTCTATTCTACCAAGCGTGGCAACTACTGGCAATACCTTCCAACTGTAGGGGAGGCCTATGTCCAGCAGTGGACGATTAATAGCTAGTATGATAATCCATAGTACAGACTTTGCTTAGTCTGGCACTAGATGACGCTTTATTCAGTGGTATTTATTTTTGTAATTTTTCAACAGCGGCGCTCGGCGACATGGGAGGGAGCGGCACCAGCTCATCATCCTCCCACATGTCTCCAGGATGGCAGGTCAACGACCTCGACCTGGACCTTACTGGGGAGCTGACGATGAAGTTAGTATCATTTTATTACTTAACTAGCTGTTGCCAGCGACTTCGTCCGCGTTTCCGTCGTTTTTGTATAATAAGAAGCCTATGTCCTTCCTCACGGTTCAGTGGTTTTGATGTAACAGACACATTTCCCTTCACTGCTCTGCTCCTGTTGATCGTATCATAATGAAAAGTATACTATAACCTGTCCAGGAATATGAAGAATAATTGTACCAAGTTATGTTAAAATCCGTCTAGTAGTTTTTGTTTCTATAACGAACATACAGACAGACAGACAAAAATTTTACTGATTGCATTTTTGGCATCAGTATCGATCACTAATCACCCGCTGATAGTTATTTTGTAAATATATTTCATGTACAGAATTGACCTCTCCACAGATTTATTATAAGTATAGATAGTTTACTAATTGGTTTTTTTTTTTAATGGTATGGAGTTATAACCTCGCCTGCACTATCATTATATTCTTATGAGATAGAAAAGAAAAGAAATAATCTGTATTTCAAATAGACCTGGTAACAAGCTCATTTAAATAGTATTTTTTTATAAATCTGCTATTGGTTTCGGTATGTTATTATCTGCTTTGAAGAACTCGAAAGAAACTCGACAGTTACTCTTTCATATCTCTGTTAACATTGTGTATTTACGTTATTTAAATGTACTATATCCAAATGGGCATTGGTCAAACATGGGCATTTAAAAACCTACGCATTATCGACTAACATCAATACACTTTTGTCATATTAAATAGTTGTTTAACTTGCAATGTGTGTTTAGGTTTATTTAGGTCAAATCTTGCAAATTAATTTTTTATTCTTTCTTTTTTTTTTAATTGAATTACGGCCAGTTCTTAACATATGATTGAACTGAAATTGTACACGTCTTTATTTCCGTTAACTGTACATTATGCAATACACAGCATTGTAATATTTTCAAAATGGCTGCCGTCACAAAATGGCGGATTATATTTTTTTTTCAACATCCATAATATATGTATGAAATAAAAGAGTTTGAAGAGTAGAAAACGATAATGTTACTGACGTCACAGTAAATTCAGTATGGCTCCCGCTCCAAGATGGCGGAATGAATGAATGAATGAAAATTGTTTACGATTCCCTTTAAAGAATGATACAGATTATAAAGACTAACAAAATGTACATGAATAAAATGAAAAATACCGGATTGTAATATAAAATCTTTTTTTTTTTATAAATACACTAGTTTGCAGAGCAAAATGTACTTATATTAATTGGTGATTTCTCCAATGGTTCACAGCGATGCCCTCCTGTCCTCCTTGCCGTCCCTGGCGGTGTTCAAACAGGAGGCGCCGTCCCCCACTGGTGCGGTGCTGTCGCCGCCGCGACGCGTGTGGCCACCACGAAGACCTGATGATAGACAGGTTAGTTCACACATTCGGAAGTCTTTGAAATGCGTAAAATTGAATTATATGGAGGTGAGGGGAGGGAAGGGGTTAGCAATGACGAGGTTAGTTGTCAATGCTGGCAATATATCTGGCCGGCAGCACACCTGCAATGTCGCTGGTGTTGTGGGTGATCATGGGCGGCGGTAGTCACTTACCATCAGGTGAGCCACATGCCACGCAGGGGGCGCGTTGTAAAAAAAAATCCTATCAGGTTGAGCTAGCGATCCCGCCATGGAGACCACAGTGGTTAATCTTGAATTACTTTTTATCAATATTAATTTCCCCATAATACTAAAGGGAGTTGGGGTTGTAGCCCCTTAACACAGGTTATTATATTAACCTATTTAGGAGCCCAGTTCTAAAACCACAACTACTGTACCCATCTAAAATTATACTATTAATATTAGTACTGTAAACTTAAGAAACTACAGTTATGTTTTAACGAATAAATTTCATTTAATTTCATTAGTGAATTAACGATGGTGACCCAACGGACCTGCGACTTCATCTCCACTTGTCACTACTCTGTCTCTCACTGGCGCTCCGCTATTATTTTTTAATGGATGATAATAAAATGGTAACCTCGCCTGCGCATCGGTATACACTGGCGGGACATCAGTAAGGGATGATAGATTAGGATGAAGCAGATCAGTTAGCCCACCGTGACGAATCTAACAATAAATAAATCACGATGGTTTCCAGGTGGGACCACGAGGAAGTCAACCTGACAGGGTATATTGCTAGCAATGGGGCTACTAATCCCCATTACTAACAATCCCTTCTCCCCCTGAGTGCTCCGCTATTGTACGCCGTTATGGCAGATATGATATTCCATCTTCATATTGCCAACATTGTGGTTTATTCTTGATGAATTCGCCACCATGGGCCGACTGGCCTTGTTTCATCCACACCATCCCCGCCAGCGTACTTCGATAGCGCAGGCGGGGTTACCAATTCATTAATATTCATAAATTAAATTCCATCTTCTATAAGGGGAAAGAGATTGTTAGTAATGCGGACTATCACTCCCATTGCTAGCAATACACTCTATCAGGTCGACCTCTACATGGTCCCCCCTAGAAACCATCGTGTTGAATTCTAGGTGTATTCATCACAAAGGGCTAACTGCCTGGTCCTGTAGACAAGTGGCAAGCAAATTCGTCGATGGAATCGACATTGCTAGCAAATCCATGAGTTGGAATGAAACATCCGACGTTGCTATCTCATTCTATCTCACGGACTCGCTAGTGACGTCGATTACATCCACGACATCCCCTTACCACTTGTCTAAAGGGCCTGATTTCATCCTCATCTATCGTCCCTCACTGGTACTCCGCCAGCGTATACCGATGGCGCAGGCTGGCTGGATTACCATTCCATTATCATCCATTAAAAAAATCCATCTTCTTAAAAATGCTCACACGATCACCATGATAGTACTTCAAGTTTATTATCTTCTTCAGATCACCAGCATGGTGGTGGACGGTGGTCGCGAAGGAATGGATGACGGCTGCCAGCAGTCACCAACGCACAATCCCGGCATGATGAGCCAACATGGTCAGTTCTTAATGTTTTTTTCTATTTTCACAAACTCAAAAGTCTGATTTGCTTTTTTTCATCATGTAGATACGTACTGCTGGACTCCTACCGGCTAAGACATCACAATGGATTGAGGGGAGGGGGGAGTATTAGTCTAATAGGTCTAACAGCCCTATTGCTTACAATGAACCCTATAAGATCGACGATCACGTGATCCCGCTGAAACCTTAATAGAGAATTAATCACGATGGACCGACTGACCTGCTTTCATAGTCACCTACCATCGCTTTCTGGTATCCCGCCAGCGTACATTAATGCAACGCATGGGGGGTATCATGGGCGAAACAGTATACTCTGTTATGTCCACGGTACTGCTCATGTCTATAGGCAACGGTTACCACTTTCCATCAGGTGGGCCGTCAGCTTGTTTGTCATTCTAAGTTGCATAAAAAAGATTAAAGAGCATTATCCACTGTAGCAATTAATTTATTTTATTAGTATTACATTATAAAGAAACAATCTTGGAAGAGAACAAGCCGACTGTAAACATTACGTACAAATGACAGACAGTTTTGGAGGGAACTCTTTTTTTTAATACCACAGAGTAACCATTTTTTTTTTTGGTATCTGTTACAATTCCTTAGGACTATAATTTATAAGGTCTTATATAAAGTGTTATAGCGGTGTCGTCCTGGCATAGAATGGGCCACCCGTTCCCTTCTCATAGGTGTTGTAAGAGGTGACTAAGGCAACTTATTGGTCGGAAGATGGGCAGCAGCGTCCCTCTTAAAACATTTCCAAAGCCTAACAGCGGTTGCCAATCTGCCTGCCAAAAGTGGCAACTACTGGCAAAGTCCCTCTTATGGAAAAGGCCTATGTTTTGTATTGAACAGTTAACTCTGTAATTTTATTGCCATATCCTACCCTACATCATCCTGCCATGTGGTCCCGGCATAGAATAGGTCACCACCTTTCCTTTCCCTTGGGTGTCGTAAGAGTGACTAAGAAAGGGCGAGGGATGGGCAGCAGCGACCCTCTTAAAACATCTCCAAAGCCTTACTGCGGTTGCCAACCCGCCTGCCAAGTGTGGCATCTACTGGCGAAACTCCCCAAGAGGAAGGCTTATGTTCAGCAGTGGACAGTTAACGGCTGATGATGATACTACCCTACAAACCGTTTACAACAAGGGCAACAGGTGATAAATATCTCTGATTACCCCCTAATGGATTAAAGTCATAATCGTTATGTTTATTTTAGCAGGAAGCCCCGAGAGCATGCAGTGCCAACCTACAATGCAAACTGGTGCATTAATACCAATGAATGGGTACCATTCGCCCAGTCAAGAGAATAAAAGTAAGCTTGGAATCCATTTATATTTCCTTTTTTATATTACAATTTTCTTCAATAAACAGCTTCAGCTAATCAGGCTGTGGAACGAGCTGTCTGCCGAGGTTTTCCTTAGAGACTACAATATGGGACCAGAGGGAGACTTTGTACAAAAGTCGATTGCTTGAGTACCTCTGTCCCATTCGTGTTTCAACCGTGAAGCAGTTGTGTTTGCATGGCTGTGTTTCGGTTTGAAGGATGGGATATAGCGTGAATTTACTGGGTACAGAGGAATAATACCTGAGTCTTCAGGAATGGCAACGTATGGGAGGTATCATGGGCGAAACAGTATACTCTGTTATGTCCATGGTACTGCTCATATCTATAGGCGACGGTTACCACTTTCCATCAAGTGGGCCGTCAGCTTGTTTCTAAGTTGCATAAAAGCAATATCATTGTTCTCAGACGCTGGTCTCCTGATGTGCTCTCCAGCCAGTTCTCTAGACGGCTTCCTGCATTCTCCGGTCCAGCAGCGCTCCGAGTCGAGCTTCAAAGATGATACCAGGTCAGTGAACACTCGGAAACTTATCATCCCCACCAGAGGGGTATTTATTTATATTGAGGACTAGCTATTCGCCCGCTACTTCGTTCGCGTGGTTATCAGAAGTCAGAAAACCAACGAAAGAGACTGTTTTTTTAATGCGTGATAATGATATGATAACCCCACCTGCGCTATCGGTGTACGCTGGCGAGGCACCAGTGAGGGATGATAGGTGAGGATGAACCAGGTCAGTTAGCCCATCGTGACGAATTCAACAAGAATTAACCACGATGGTTTTCAGGGGGACCACGTGGAGATCGACGTGATAGGGTATGTTGCTAGCAATAGGACTGTCAAATACCATTACTAACAATCCCTTTCCCCCCTATAGACTGTTTTTAGGTGCTGTATGAAAATAAAATATACCACATTTTAAGTTAGACCTTCAGGAACACACTGTGAAAACCGCATCCTGTTGGGGGAAAGGGATTGTTAGTGATGGAGACTGAGAATCGCATTGCTAGCAATATACCTAACTAGGTCGACCGCCTCGCGGTTCCGCCTGGAAACTATCATGGTTAATTCCTGATGAATTCATCATGATGGGCTAACTGGCCTGTTTTCATTCTCATCGATCACCCTTCACTGGTACTCCGCCGGTGTATACAGACAGACGGACTGACTAAACTAGTTAGAAATGATAGGCGAGGGTGAAGTCGGGTCAATTGGTACTAGAGCATGGAACCGGTTTTTACCGGTTCCCGAAAACCACGAGAACCGGTTCTGATAATAAAAAAAAGAACTATTTGTTTCGATTCTTTATAAAGTTTATACTATTAGGCGACCTTCAAGGCAAGGAAGCTGTTTATATACGATTACATCGTAAATTCAGCGGGTCTACCATGAAATGAAATTCCGATATTTCGGACTTAACTTCGTGTTTTTGTTTATACCAAAATGGGATCAATAAATGGAGTTTAACATTTCGTTCGTCATACATCCTATCATAAAAGTCCAAATGAACTATATTTTAATTTTTTTTTAAATATTACCAAACAGTATGTATTATGAAATTTTAACATCAAATTTAACATCAAAAACATTGTGATTATTTCTTGTAATTATTTATATTTATATAATAAGTTTACTATTGTAATCTTTTGGAGGAAACAATAAAGAGTATCTATCTATCTATCTATCTATCTATCAAAATTCTGTTTCGTTTGGCTCCGAAATTTCGGAAAACATTTCATGGTAGGCCCTCTGAACATATAATCATAATTCTATCTGCCATCTCAGTGTTATAAAAAAATCTTTCTTGTCGAATCGATAAGGTTCATCATGTCTGGCGTTAACTGTCCACTGCTGAACATAGGCCTCGCCCATAACCCAGATGACAGTTACCACCTTCTCATCATAGGTTTTGCCAGTAGTTGCCACGCTTGGCAGGCGAATTGGCAGCCGCAGTTAAGGTTTATTGATGTTTAAAAAAGACGCTGCTGCCCATCCTATCTCTAGACTATTAAGTTCCCTTAGTCGCCTCCTACGACAACTACGGTAAAAGAGGTGGCCCATTCTACGCCGGGACCACACGGCAATTTAGTTGCTTTTAATTATTATTGTCATTGTCAGATTTGGTGTTTTTTTTTAATGGATGATAATGGAATGGTTACCCCGCCTGCGCTATCGGTATACACCGGCGGGGCACCAGTGAGAGATGATAGGTGAAAATGAAAGAGCAGGTCAGTTAGCCCATCGTGATAAATATACCTGGAATTCAGCACGATGGTTTCCAGGGGGGACCGCGTGGAGGTCGACCTGTCAAGGTATATTGCTAGCAATAAGACTAGTAGTCCGTATTACTAAATACCCCCCCCCCCTCTCATCCCACCGATATTGTGTGCGTTACAAAGTTTTCAATTATTCAAATATTTGTCCAGGTTCCAGTACGTGTTAGCCGCAGCGACCTCTATCGCCACCAAACAGAATGAGGAAACGCTGACATATCTGAATCAAGGCCAACCATACGAGATCAAGCTCAAGAAGCTGGGTGATCTCTCACATTACAAGGGGAAAATACTGAAGGTACGTCCATTTTTAAGGTCATTCTGTTCACATACTGGCCACTAATAAATAAAAAAAAATTCCTTAAACAAAATTAGTCTATGATATAATATAGCTATGATCCCACACTAGGCAAAGCCTGTCTCGTGGAAATTTAAAAGAAGAATAAAATTGTAAATACTGGCCAGTAACAATCTGTTCTATTTATTCTTTCAATAAATAAATCAGTGTCACAGTCGTCACAATTATTAAATTATTGGTACAGAATGTTCAATACAGAAAGTAAAATTTTAATACCAGTGGGAGACTTTGTACAAAAGTCGATTGCTTGGGTACCTCTGTCCCATTCGTGTTTCTACCGTGAAGCAGTTGTGTTTGCATGGCTGTGTTTCGGTTTGAAGGGTGTGATATGGCGTGAATTTACTGGGTACACAGGAATAACATCTGAGTCCTCAGGAATGGCAACGCATGCGGGGTATCATGGGCGAAACAATATTCTCTGTTATGTCCATGGTACTGCTCATGTCTATAGGCGACGGTTACCAATTTCCATCAGGTGGACCGTCAGCTTGTTTGCCATTCTAAGTTGTATAAAAAAATAAAAAAATAAAATATTTTTTTATTGTCCGGGAAACGTTAATTTTTTTATTTAAAGAATATTTTTTATAAGTGGCAATATTCTAACGTAATCTTCTGAATAACATGTCGAAATTGTCCACGTGATGAGATAAATTGGTTTTTGGTTTAATAAACTATGATAAATTAAATTATTTTTAATTTTCGTTAACACAGAGTGTGATCAAGATCTGCTTCCACGAGCGTCGCTTGCAGTACATGGAGCGCGAGCAGATAGCTCAGTGGCACACTGAACGGCCTGGGGAGAGGATCGTAGAGGTAACAAAGCTAGCTTACCAAATCTTACAGCAGCTCAACGCAGTGTAGGACGACCATAGAGGGGGGAAGAAATTATCTTTTGGGATCTGTTTTTTTATTGGGTGAAGATGGAATGGTATAGCCTGCGCTATCGGTAAACGCTGGCGGGGTTCCAGTGAAGGGTGACAGGTGAGGATGAAGACAGGTCAGTTGGCCTATAGTGACCAATCGAACAAGAATTAACTACTATGGTTTCCAAAGTAACCTTGAACTGATGCTGACCGGATGTATTGCTAGCAATGAGGCTGTTAAATCTTATTACTAACAATCATATTCCATCAGGTGGGCCGTCAGCTTGTTTGCCATTGTAAGTTGTATAAAAAAAAATGACCAGCAGTGGACGGAGAATAGCTGAGATGATGATGACGACCAGCTCTTACTCGCGACTTTGTTCGCGTAACCGGAATAAAAGTAACCTATGCCCTTCACCGTCCCATATAGTACGTGTATACTAAATTTCATAGTGATCGGTTAAGCCGTTAAGGCGCTATAAGGTGACAAACGAACAAACTCACTTTCTCTTACTCATCATTTTTTTATGCAACTTAGAATGGCAAACAAGCTGACGGTCCACCTGATGGAAAGTTGTAACCGTCGCCTATAGACATGAGCAGGACCGTGGACATAACAGAGTATACTGTTTCGCCCATGATACTTCCCATGCGTTGCTATTCCTAAGGACTCAGGTGTTATTCCTCCGTACCCAGTAAATTCACGCCATATACGCATATCCCACCCTTCAAACCGAAACACAGCTACATGCAAACACAACTGCTTCACGGTAGAAACAAGAATGGGACAGAGGTGGCCAAGCAAACGACTGTTGTACAAAGTCTCCCTCTGGTAAAATCATCATCATCAGCTTTCAACCGTTCACTGCGGAGCATAAGTCAAATATATATTCTGTTATGTTTTATATTAATATCGACATTGGATGAACAGGTGGACGTGCCATTATCGTACGGCGTGATCCGCGTGGAACAGCCCTCGTGTCTGAACGCGCTGCACGTATACTGGGATCCCACTAAGGACGTCGGTGTTTACATCAAGGTAAATTACTACTACATTATTACATTTACATTTTGTGTTTTACGTATACACGTGAGCAGTATTTATATATTTTTATGTATTTGTGTAGGTGTTTGTACGCATTGTGTATGTATGTATATATGTATGTATGTGTGTATATATATAATAGTATAAAAGTATATATAATATATTACATTATTACATGTATCACATCTCTATATTTTAGAAATAATAGGATCTTCATCGTGCCTCCCACCAAATTGTTGATAATTACTCCTCTCCATCCAAAGGTTGCCTGGAAAAGATCGCTCTTAGCGATAAGGTCGCCCATTGTTTTCTCACTGTGATTATTTCTTGTAATTGTTTATATTTATAATAAGTTTACTATTGTAATCTTTTGGAGGAAACAATAAAGAGTATCTATCTATCTAACACTAGCGCCCGGGGAAAAAGGGATTGTTAGTAACGAGGTCTAATAGCCCCATTGCTAGAAATATAGAGTATATTGCTAACAGGTCGACCTCCACGCGGTTTCCCCTGGAAACCATCATGGTTAATTTTTGTCGAATTCATCATAGGCGAAACAGTATACTCTGTTATGTCCATGGTACTGCTCATGTCTATAGGCGACGGATACCACTATCCATCAGGTGGGCCGTCAGCTTGATTACTATTCTAAATTGTATAAAAAAAAGCCATTTGCCCCACCTTCAATTCCGGGGGCAACTACCCCTGATTCACTGGATTCAAATCTCACCGCCTGAGTGAGTCGTGGTTTTCTATACATGTATAGGCGATCTAGAAACTGTTGATACTAGAGGGCGCTAGTGTTTTTTTTAATGGGTGATAATGGAATGGTAACCCCGCCCGCGCTATCGGTATACACTGGCGGTGCACCAGTGAGGGATTACTGGTGAGGGTGAAAGGTAGGTCAGTCGTGACAATTCCACTAAAATTAACCACGATGGTTTCCAGGGGAAACCATCGTGGAGGTCGACCTGTTAGAGTATATTGCTAGAAATGGGGCAATTAAACTCCATTACTAACAATCCCATTCCCCCTGCCAAAGATATTGGAAGCGGCTCACAAATATCTAGAGTCGGTTTAAATAGTTTTATTATAATTTTATATGTTAGCACACTAGATTTGTCTTTTGCTGTCGTATTTTTAATGAATAAATAAATAAATTATGAATTAAAAAAAAAAGTATTTCTGTTCGTAGGTAAACTGCATATCAACGGAGTTCACAGCCAAGAAGCATGGCGGCGAGAAGGGGGTCCCTTTCCGCATACAGGTGGAGACGTATTTGGGGTCGGACGAGCACAGTCGACTGCACGCGGCCGCCTGCCAGATCAAGGTCACTATCCGGTGCACGTGCACACAATATTTATATTTGACCCAACACACTGTCTAGGTGAGATAGTGTAAAAACCGGATGTAATACCGTAAATGCGTTATCTGTGACACAAATAACAGAAAATATAATTGATAATGTAACATAATGAGTAAAGAAAGGTGGTCCTGATGTTCAGATGATATATATATATATATATATATATATATATATATATATATATATATATATATATATATATATATATATATATATATATATATATATATATATATATTAAATGTTCATATATAGGCGTGTATAATATCAGTACTGCTCCGATATCTATGTATTAGTTTCTTCTGAACTTTGATAGCGGATTAAAAGTCATTATCCATGTCTATGGTCCATACGAGCCGGATATCCATATTTATTTCGATCGGGTCAATATATATTGTTTCTACCTACTATATTGTATATACTTTGTTTCTGCTTAACCTAATAGGAGACAGGCGAGATAAATATGTATGTGTTTATATGTATAATATGATATATTGTATATGTACTGTAACTATAATATATAGATGTTTAAACGATATTTAAATAAAAGAATATATAAATAAAATAATATATGTTAGTATATCTGTATATATATTTATATAAAATACATATATATTTATATATGAATGTGAAGTGAAATACACAATCTTATACTGAAAAAATATGATAACTTATTAACATATCGGCAAATAATAAATAAAACCAGTCACTAGTGGTTGTTCAAGTTATTTAAAAATTTGTACTTCAAATTATATTTGATTACAAAATAATCAGCTAAAACCTCAAATCTCGATTCCAACGCCATCTAGTATCTCTTACCGAATTTAGTTTGAATGACTGGCTTAAATGGTAATTATGTTTTTTTGACAGGTGTTCAAACTGAAGGGCGCGGACAGGAAACACAAACAGGACAGGGAGAAAGTGATGCGGCGGCCTCGGTCCGACCTGGAGAAGTACCAGCCCGGCTGCGAGGCGACCGTTCTCACCACCGTAAGTGACTTTTTTATACAACTTAGAATGGCAAACAAGCTGACGGCCCATCTGATGGGAAGTGGTAACCGTCACCTATAGACATGAGCAGTACTATGGACATAACAGAGTATACTGTTTCGCCTATGATAACCCCCATGCGTTGCCATTCCTGAGGACTCAGGTGTTATTCCTCTGTACCCTGTAAATTCACGTCATATCCCACCCTATAAACCGAAACACAGCCATGCAAACACAACTGTTTCACGGTTGAAACACGAATGGGACAGAGGTACCCAAGTAAACGACTTTTGTACAAAGTCTCCCTCTGGTGTGTGACTTACATAAATGCATTATATCAGTTGTTAACTTTACACTGCTGTACACAGACTTCCCACGGGAGACAGGGATTGTTAGCAATAAGATCCAACAGACCTAACTAGCTATATACCCTAACCGGTCGACCTCCACGCGGTTCCCCCTGGAAACCATTGTGATTATTTTTTGATGAATTCATCACAATGAGCCAACTACTTCGTCCTCACCTATCATCCCTCACTGGTGCCCCGCCAGCATATACCGATAGCGCAGGCGGGGTTACCATTCCATTTTCATCCACTACTAAAAACACAGAGTTTCCCTATAAGGGGGGCTATGCCAGTAGTTGCCACGCTTGGTGGACAAGTTGGCAACAGCAGTTAGTTTTTGGTTTGTATCCCCATCCCTCGACCGTTAAGTTCCCTTAGTTGCCTTACGACACCCACGGGAAAGTAAGGCGCGCCTCCTGTCCTTATATTTTCTTTTATCGACTGGTAAATAATGGCGTATGGTGATACGTCCGCCATTTATACTTTATAAGTGTATTAAAGTTTAATAAATAAATAAATATTTCCTTGTCAACAGTTATCCCACGATGCTTTGATGCCACCGCCGTCGTTGGTCACCACTTCGCCGCCATATTCTCCGGAAATGTGGTGAGTAAACTTCAGAGTAAAACTGCCAATAAAAAAATAAGTTTTTTTATACAACATTTTTTTTATACAACTTAGAATGGCAAACAAACTGACGGCCCACCTGATGGAAAGTGGTAACCGTCGCCTATAGACATGAGCAGTACCATGGACATAACAGAGTATACTGTTTCGTCCATGATACCCCCATGCGTTGCCATTCCTGAGGACTCAGGTGTTATTAATAATAGATAGATACTCTTTATTGTTTCCTCCAAAAGATTACAATAGTAAACTTATTATAAATATAAACAATTACAAGAAATAATCACAATGAGAGAACAATGGGCGACCTTATCGCTAAGAGCGATCTCTTGCAGGCAACCTTTGGATGGAGAGGAGTAATTATAAACAGTTTGATCGGAGGCACGATGAAAATTCTGTCATTTTTAAATACATATGTACATGCAATAATGTAACTAAACCCTTATTCATAAAAACTAAAGCCTCCTACAAACCTTAAGTGAATTTACAGATTACAGGTGCATAACATCTGAGTCCTCAGGAATGGCAACGCATGGGGGGTATCATGGGCGAAACAGTAAACTCTGTTATGTCCATGGTACTACTCATGTCTATAGGCGACGGTTATGCCATTCTAAATTGCATAAAAAAAAAAGAATAATAAATAAACAAATATCTTTTAAGAAAAGCGTTCACGCTCACTTTTTTACTTTACCCGAGCAGTAAGTGCTTTATATTATTCTCAATTTCGTGTATAATATAGTATATGTCATATATGTGTATGTATATTTGTTATTTATATATATTTATTCGTTTATATATTTAATTTTAGTATGTATGTATATCAATAATTAGTAATACCACATTCGTGTATTCTGACACTTCCCTACGGTTGACTGGGAGAGAATGCTTTTAGCATTAAGTCCGCCATGTACACATATTTGTACTAATGAATAAATAAATAAAAAAAAAAATAGTGTAATTTAAATATTTTTTTAAATGGATTGATTAGTTTTTGAGTTTATCCATTATACAAACAATTAATTCTCTTTATGATATCATAAAGAGCATAGATAAACTTTTTTTTTTATGCATGGATGGTCTATGGACATAATGTGCTGAGGTCAGGATGTTTATAACCAGTCTCAACAATAAAATTAAGGCCAATAATGTACTGTGATGACCTTTCACGTGCCTTCCATTACATTCGCTGCCCAATTGGAGTGAAATAATACAACATAGTCTTAGATTATATATATAGAGTGGTCCCCATAGAAATGCTTCGAGAAAGGCGAATCACTTTATCATATAATTTTGCGTGATAAATAGTTACGAGTGATTCCTTTATACATACATACATACATATCTGTCACGCCTGTCTCCCATTAGGGTAGGCAGAAACAATGGAACGCCAAATGCTTCGATTCAAACAGACCTCTTTCGCTTCCTGCACATTCATCAATCTTGTCATACACGCTCGTCGGTTACGGGTACTTTTAATTTGGCCCTTCTTCAGCACGTCGCCTATTTGGTCGACATATGTCCGTCCGTCCGTCTGATTCCTTTATAACTTCTATATTTATTTTGTCTTATAAATTCTGCATCTTTTTAATGCGTAAACTCTCATTTTATTTATTAAACTAGCAACCCTTGATCGTAGCGTGATGAAAAGTATACTATAACCTGCCCAGCAGTATGAAGAATAATTGTACCAAGTTTCGTTAAAATCCGTCGAGTAGTTTTTGTTTCTATAACGAACATACAGACAGACAGACATAAATTTTACTGATTGCATTATTGGCATCAGTATCGATCACTAATCACCCGCTGATAGTTATTTTGTAAATATATTTCATGTACAGAATTGACCTCTCTACAGATTTATTATAAGTATAGATAATACGTCAAGATACATTGTGTACGTAAGTATATAGAACACTGATAAAAAAACGAGTCAGCTAATTTGACAATTAGCTGACAAAAAGTTGACCCGTTTTTGAGGATCGATTCTCTATCTATATAATCTTAGAGAGTAACTAATTTAAAATATCATTGAACTGGCGGCAAGAATTATTTGGCCGTAATTCATTTAATTCACTGGCTAGTAACGTGCATGGACGTATAGTAACGTTTTTTTCGCGTCTCGAATAAAATTGCAGTGTCTCTTCCAACCTTGACATTGGGGAGGGAAGGGATTGTTAGTAATGGGGTCTAATGAACCCATTGCTAGCAATACACTATCAGGTCGACCTCCACGTGGTTCCCTCTGGAAACCATCGTGAACAATTCTTGTTGTTGAATTGGTCACAATGGGCTAACTGACCTGCTTCATCCTCATTTATCACCCTTCACTGGTGCCCCGCCGGTGTATACCGATAGCGCGGGTGGGGTTACCATTCCATTATCACCCATTAAAAAAAACCTTGATTTTGCCTAATCACCGGAACCCCGTTGGAGCCATAATTAAAAAAAAAGTTTATTTTTATGTACATATATCAAATAGTAAGGAGAAATATAGTTTTTATCGATATCGATAATAAATGCTTGTTTGTTACTCCTTCCATGTTTTTAATCGAGCAAAATTTTTCATAGTTGTAAGTTGATTTTACACCAACATGGTTAAATACTTTTTTATGTTAAAAATTCGATGTCTGTATGTCATGCCCGTTTTTCATAGTAACTTAAAAATTTTACACTCCTGAAATTCAGTTATCTGAATTTCACATTTTCTTACCATAAATAGGTAAGAAAATGTGAAATAAAATATGCGCATATTAATATAAAATTGTTCATTAAATGTCTCGTTGTCTATTCCGTGTATGTATTTGAAAAAACAAATTTAGTTGCACTAACAGTACTATTACTATTTATAACTAGAGGGCGCTATATGACATGCACAAGGCTGTTTATTTACTAGCTGTGCTCGCGATATCGTTTGCGTGACGGCGACAAAAAAGTAGCCTCTGTCTTTCTCCGTCCCATTTGATACGTATATGGCAAATTCCATATCGTTTGGTTAAGTCATTGGCACCAAAAAACAACAAATAAACTCATTATCTATCACATCTATAATATTAATAATTATTCTTTGTCACAATAAAGTCAATTAATTCAGTTGTATTTTTTTTAAGTTTATAACCTCATAACTGCGTCATTTATAAACCAATTTGGAAAATTCTTTTTTTTTTTCTTTATCTGAAAGGATGTACTTGTAGTTTGTTCCCATAGAAATTTTATCAAAGTCGGTTCAGTAGATTAATTTTTAAATCAAAATAACTGATTTTGGTTTAAAATCTGATGTTTTTTGTGGCACACAATTATGGTCGAAAGGTTGGAAAAGCAACGCATAATACATACCATGGGTATCACAGTATATTATGTGATATCCATAGTGTTATTCAAAGCCTATAGGCGGCGGTAACCACATTCCATCAGACGGACCATCATCGTCAGCTAATTTACCATTTTAGATATTATAAAAAAGCGAAGCTCTAAATTAGTATTTCCAGTAAGCAAATGAGGCAAAAGTGTTTGTAATAAAAATACCAAATATTACGCCACACGACCAGATGAATTGTGACAGTCATACGTTATTTATTACAATAAATGTCACGAGTCTTAAGTTGGTGTCACATCCTAAAATTAAAGCTATAAATTGTCACAATTGAGCGCCGGGGACCGATCTGTTCATGCGGCTGAGCGTTTTTCAGCGTCCATTGGTATGTAGATGTTTTATTGCATAATAACATTGTGTTATATCGTATGTTACATGTGTAGTGGATACTATTATTATGCGCTCTTCAAAAGGAAGGAGTTTAGTATTTGCCGGTTCCGTTTTGTATTATTTGCTTATTTAAATTTGTTTTTTTTTTATTATTATAATTAGACAGGGTTACCATTATGCGGGCGTTATTGGTATATGCTGGCAGGGCACCAGTGAGGGATGACAGGTGAGAATGAAAAGGCAGGTCAGGTAGCCCACCGTGATGAATACACCTGGAATTCAGCGCGATGGTTTTTAGGCGGGACCACGTGAAGGTTGACGTGATAGGACAGTTGAATTGGTAGTAACTTACAAGTTCAATTTTAATAGTTATTTTTTTTTATGAGTAGTAATTGGCCCTAATTGGTCCTATATAATTTTCCCCTGCTTAATGCCGCTATTTTTATATGCAAAGCAAAATATTGCTTTGTACAGAACAGTAATTACTTGTAGACACGATTATAACCACGTGTACCAAATTAAAATATTTTTCTAAATCTAACGTTTCTATTAACGATTTTGTCATCAAACGGTTGATTTCATTCATTTTAAAATAAGAATCGTAAGATTAATAGTCAATATTGAAAGCTAAGGGTAGTCAGAGAATTTTTATTTTATGATAGGGTAATCCAACTTACGCTATCAACTTACGCTGGCATTTACTTGGTTACTTTACCTTATTATCTTTCAAACAAATTGGCCAATCGTGACGTTTTGTAGACTATTGTCTAATATAGAGGTGGCGAGATTGACCAGTCGATCATGGCAAGGCAAAAAATATAATATTTTACTAATCTAACGGAAGATGTTTAGACGCAATGCTCACACTAGTATATAAATAGGTAATTACTAAGAAAAATTTTCAGTTTTATTTTTAACCTCTTAATAGAATAAAAAAATACTACAATACTACATAATTGTGTCTTGAACTATGTTGTTTCCTTTGAGATTTCAAGAAGTATATAATTGGTAGATCGTACAGGGTCTCGTCAGTAAACTGTAGATCTTGGGTCTAGTCAAGTCTACCACTCCTGGTCTAATAAATATCTCTGCTGATATAAAAGAGGAACAGTAACAAATCCGGTTCTAAGCGCCTCCGTGACCCCAACGACCGACGGTCCGCCTCGACTGTTCTCACGCAACCTACAATTGCAATTGCTCATGGAATTTATTACTATCATTATGAATAGTGCAGCTTATAACAGCTTATTAGCGAGTTATTTGCTTGCTTTGTTTT